GCAGACCTGGGCATGGTGGTGCACACCTGTAATCCCAGCACTTGGGAGCCTGAAGCAGGATTGCCATGAATTCTTGGCTAGCCTGGGCTACATAATGAGTTCAAGATCAGCCTGAACAATATAGTCTAAACTGACAAAAAAAATCCACGGGAGTAAGAAGTTCTGTTGTAGTATGGTGACTACAGATGATAATATCTTTTTTTTTTTTTTTGGTACTGGGGATTAAACTTTGTGCCACTGAGCTAAATCCCAGGCCCTATACTATATATTTCTAAAAGCTAGAAAAAAGGATTTTCAGTGTTTTGCCATGAAAAATAACAAAAGTTTAAGGAGATAGACATGTTTAACCTTATTTATTTTTGTGGTTCTAGAATTAAATTCATGGTCCTCATACATGCTACACAAGTGTTCTGCCAATGAGCCATGTCCCCAGTACCTTAAATGATTCAAACATTACACAGTATACAAGTATCAAAATATTACATAGGGCTGGAGATTTAGCTCAGTGATTCTGCTGCCTGCCTCAAGCACAAGGTCCCGAGTTCGATTTCCGGTACCAAAAAAAAGTATTACATGAAACCTTTAAGTATGTATAATTTTTATGTTTCTATATATCATTTAGAAAGAACATTTACTTAACATTTATTAAATCACTCATTATTTATTTGAAAAACATTGGTTCATTGAGTTATGAGCTTTCAGAGGTTGACACATTTTTATGAAAACTTATTTTGTTGTTGATTTATTTTGTTTTGGTTTTTTTTGGTATCGGGGATTGAACTCAGGACCTTGCACTTGTGAGTCAAGCATGGTGCCTCTGAGCTAAATCCCTGGCCATGAAAACTTTTTTTGAGACAGGGTCTCACTATGTAGTTTAGGCTGACCTCCTGTCTCAGCCTCCTGAGTGCTAACGTTAGAGGTGTGCACCATTATGCCTATCATATATGTTAATATCAGCAGTTTTCCTGAGTGTTGGGATTACAGGGTATGCTGCTATACCTAGCTGAAAAATTTTTTTAAACATTTTTTTTTAACATTTATTGGTACATTTTAGGTACATAGGGAATTTGCACCTGTACATGATATATCTTGCCTCTTTTTTTGGTACTTGGGATCGAACTCCAGTCCTTGCACTTGCAAGTTAGATGACAGAACCACTGAGGTAAATCCTTGGCCCCTGCCTCTTATTTTTTTCCCATTCCCCCCTTTCCTCCCTATATACAAAAGCTTTGTTTCCATTTTTTCCTTCTATTTTTACTTTTTTTTCTGTCCCTTCCTTTCTTCCTTTTCCTCTCCCTCCTCCCTTGTTCCCCTTCTCATTTATACATTTTCTTCCCATGAAAATTCTTTTTAAATTTGGAAGCTGCCAATTATATGATAGAGGATACTGATTTTCTGAAATTATAATTTTTGCTAAAAATCTTAAATTTTATCATTGGCAGTGTATTACATCAGTTGTTTTCCTTGAAATGATTAGCTCACTTCATTCTATCTGAAGAATGAAATAATACCCAAGTCTGAGATTCTCCAAATAATATTGGTGTGAAAACTGGCAAGCTAAATGATTGCCCACATAAAGGGATTTATTCAGTAGAAATGTAAAGAAGTATAGTGTGGGAGAGAGGGAGGAAGCGGGGGAGAAAGGAGGAGGAGAAGAAGAGAAAAAAAAGATGCATTGTGATCCAGAGCTGGGTATATTTATGGGGCTTGGAGGTGACCAAGATGGATGTGTGGTCCTACTCTCTATTGTCAGGTCACTCATCTGGCAGTCCATGTTAGACTGCAAACAGTTTACATAAGCTTGAAGTAGAGATATGCTGCCCACTCACAACTGCTGCTTTCTTCTTTTATACAAGGTCTCACTATGTAGTTCAGGCTGGCCTGGGACTCTCAGTGATCCTCCTGCCTCAGCCTTCTGAATGGTGGGATTACATGTAATCCACCATACCTGGCAAAATTTCTAATTTCAATAGAATATTGTAGTAGTCTTTTTCCTCAGGAGATAAGTTGCAAGATTCCTAGTGGATGCTCGAAACGATGAATAGTACCAAATAGTACCAAATCCCAGTGTACAAAAGAAGTTTACACATTTTAAAATTTTTTCATAGAATATTTGTCACTCTTTGTTTGCTTGCCTGGTTTTCTATATTTCACACATATTCCTTTGTAATTTCCTCAGAGTAGTAAAAGCCCTCTCAATACTAGTTTCTACATAGTCAAGTGTATTGACAAATCTCCATTTTTTTTTCCCCTGGAGATTGTACTGGAATTTTTGTATATTTGCTGCCAAAGCGAGCACAGTACTAGAATTTTTGTCCTGCTCTGTCTGGACTGGCTGTACTCTGACCTCATAGTCAGGTTTTTCTCTTGTAGCTTTTTATTGCTATTATGTTATAAACTGTCTTTACTGTTTTCCTAGTTGTATCTTCTTGGGATCTTGGATCTTGTTGCCTTTTCTATTAATTTTGATGGTTGGCATTTTCCAGTAGCATCCTGAGAAAAAAGTGTATTTAGAGGTGAAATGTTTGAGCATTTGTGTATCTGAAAAACCTCTTTTGTCTTTGTTTTGTTTTTCTTTTATTGTGTTTTTGGTACTGGGGATGGAACTCAGGACCTTGTGCTTGCAAGGCAAGTGGCAGTACCATTGAGCTAAATCCCTGGCCCTTGCTTTTGTTTTTAAGAAAAGATCTCACCATGTAGCTCAGGCTGGCCTCTGACAGGTGTGTGCCACCATGCCCTGCCTGAGAAGCACCTTTATTAGAATGTCCGTTAGTTTGCTAGATTAGGATTAGAATTTTTCTCTCAAAATTTTGTCTTCTAGTTTCTTATGTTTCTTTTGAGAAATTTGATGCCATTCAGAGCCCTATTTTATTCAGTGATACATAATTAATTTCTTTCTGAAAATATAACCTCTTTTTCCTTGTGAAATGTTACGGTATTGCGCTTAGGTATGGGTCTTAATATATAAGTACCAAATGGGCCCTTTCTATTTGGAGAATTAGGACTTTAGAAGCAGTTTTTTTGTTCTTTGAATAAATTTCCTGTAGTTAGTTGTTTGCCTTTTTCTGAGACTTTTTTTTTTCTAGTACTGGAGATTGAACCCAGAGCCTTTGCACTGAGCTACATCTCCAGCCTTTATCACTTTTTTGTTCGTTTTTTGAGACAGGGTTCTACTATGTAGCCCAGGGTGGCCTCAAACTCATGGCAGTCCTCCTGCCTCAGCCTCACGAGTCCTAGGAACACACACCCAGCCCTTTTTATCACTTTTTGTATTTCAAGACAGTCTTGCTAATTTCCCCAACTGGGCTTGAACTTGGAATCCCTCCTGCCTTAGCCTTCAGCTCTCTGAGACTCAGTTGTTGCATTTCCTTGTTTATTCTGTGCATTTGTTATGAAAACTTCCACCAGGAAATGCCACTTGCCACTAGTGATGGTATTGATTGCATCACAATGTCTGCTGGCCATCCCTAAGTTTGCTAGAGTTAGGTAATGTAAAAAAAATTTTTTTTGGAGTAAAGACCCTGTTCTTGGTAGATAGTAATATAGTCTACCCTGAGCTGGGGATTTAGCTCAGTGGTGCTGCCGCCTGCCCCGTAATATAGCCTACCCCAACTTATCCATTCCTGCATAGTCTTAATTACTATTGAAACTTCTTATGCTTTTTACCCAAAAGATCCTATTACTTTTTCACTGGTAAAATATCTTCTCCTAATTTTGTGATTGATACTAGGTTTTGTTTTGGAGACCTGGTTTCTCTGTGTAATCCAGGCTAACCTTGGAACTTGCTGTGTCATTTAGGCTGGCCTTGCAGTTAAGATCCTTCTGCCTTGACCTCTTGAGGGCTAGAATTATGGGCATGTACTGTCATGCCTTGCCACCTCCTTTTCCTCTCCCTCCTTCTCCCCCTCCTCCTCCTCTTCCTCTCCTCCTTTCTCCTCCTCTTCCCCTCCTTCCCCCTCCCTCTTTCCCTCTCTCCATCTGTTGTCCCCACCCATCTGTGTCTCTGTCTCTGTGTCTGTCTTTGTCCCCTTAAGATTGAGCCCACAGTCTTTGCACTCAGTTGCATTTGCAGCCCTTTCTTATTTTGAGACAATGTTTTGCTAACTTGCCCAGGCTGGGCTCAAATGTGCCATCTTCCTGCCTCAGCCTTCCCCAGTGTGGGGATTATGGGCATGTGCCACCATGCCCAACTTTCTCTATATTTTCATCTGCCTTCCATTTTAGTGGAGTTCCTCAAATGTATGTGGAATATTTGCTGCACTGTCATTTTAAAATGGCTCACCAAAGGTGGTTATGCACTCTTACCTGGAAAGCTTCAGTGGATGAAAGTAAAATGCCTTATGAACCAATGGTCCCTTCCCTGAAAAAAGGTTACACTGCCTTACTCTAGTGAACTCAGCCATGATCTGGTCCTGTTTTGGCCAGTGAAATTTAAGTACAATTAATGGTTACCTTGGGGGAGCATCCTACGTTTAACATAGGCTTTCTTTAGAAAAGGATCCTTTTATATCCTGCTCATAGGTATGTGTACCTCATGTGCACATTTTTTTGGCCTTCGCTACAAAATGGTGATTGATTTCAGTATAGCCACTCTTCCTTGTCTTCTCATATGCTGGATATCCTAAGTATGGAGATTCTTAGCATGAGTAAGGTTAAATTTTGTGACAAGGAGCATAAGTTATGATCTGGGTGCATTTCACCCAACCTTACACTACTTCATATGAAGTAGTAGTCAACTCTTTTTTTATTGGGAGGGTATGAATGCAGTTGTTCCTTATATCATTTTTTCCAGCTATTATCTCCAGTCCTTATTTTGAGATAGTTGATTCCCTTCGTTTCCTTTTTCTGATTTTTTTTTTTTTGGTTACCAGGGATCGAACTCGGGTCCTTGTACTTGCGTGCGCAGCAGACGGTGAAACCACTGAGCTAAATCCCCGGCCCCATGATTTTTTTGTGTGTGTGTGTGCGATCAGCTTGGTTGACATTGGCATCTTTTACAGAGTCTTAACATGAAGTGAACTTCAAATAATGTTCTGCTGTACATTGAAAATCTTCCAGTTTATTTCAATAAGAAACATTGGTGTGTATCTTTCTGATATGTCCTTTTTTTTGAGTTTGTCTTTTAATGAGTCTTGGCTAGGTGCTAGGAATTGAACCCAGGGCCTTTAACCTGAGCTGTATCTCCTGCCATTCATTCATTCATTTATTTGCAGTGCTAGGGATTCAATCCAGATCCTTCATACTGTACATCTCCAGCCCTTTTATATTTTTTATTTTGAGACAACTAAGTTACTGAATTTCCCAGGCTGGTTTCAAACTCAGTGATCTTCCTGCATCAGCCTCTCAGAGAGCTGGGATTGCAGGCATGTACAACCATGCCTGGCTTACTTTTTATTTTGAGACAAGGTCTCACTAATAGTTCAGATTGGCCTTGAACTCACTAAGTATCCCAGGCTGGCCTCAAACTAGTAAGGATCCTCCTGCCTTGGCCTCCTGACCTGAGTGCTGGGATTATATAGGCCTGCACCACCCATGCCTGGCTTGGGTTCAAATTTAAGATCCTCCTGCATCAGCCACCCAGAGTGCTAAGATTATAGGTGTGTGCCACCAAACCCAGGAGTGGACTTTCTCATTTGTAATATTAATCTAAGCTTTGTAGACCTACAAGTGTTAAGTTTTAACCCAAATTCCTCTACAAGGGTTTTCTTCTCAAAATTTAGTTGGAGATAAAAAAAAAATTTAGTTGGAGATAGCAGTCATATCTAAAATCTGAGACTTTATTTCAAGTAATGGGGAAATTTACTGATAATAGTAATGATGGCCTAAAGGTAATAATTACTGTTTACCATGTGGTACTTACAGTTTTGAGTAGTTTTATACATTAATTCCTTTAAATGATAATTCTTTGTATTCTATTTTAGGATAAACCTGAGAAGATAATGAGCAGATGAGAAACATCAAGACTTTGGAGGCAAGTTATATCCATCTCCAGTGAATACTGACTGGGGAAAAAACAGTGAACATAAGAAAATTAGAAAAATCCTTCCTTTTCTCACAGACCTTATTTCTCTTCGGGCACACATTTTTGAAATTTTCACTTCAAAAGACAATTTAGGCTTAATTATGAGGAAAGCTGTGTAGAAAAGAATCATTAATTTTATTAATTTGAAAATCCTCTACCAGAGCTAATTCCTTGTGGTAATAGTCTCTTGTAAATCAGAGTATTCCCCATTGGAGAAAAACTGTATGAATTTACTGAATGTGGGCAAACATTTATACACCTGCATCATCTCATGGAACCAAGAAGTCATGCTGAAGAGACACCCTGTACTTCTAAGGAATATTAAAAAGCCATTAGCTAGATGACAGATCTCATTGAGCAACAGAAAATTCATACTGGAGAGAAACCAGTGAGTATAGCATAACCTCATTGAATATTAGCATTTTATACTGGAGAGATAGCTTTGGCTACGTGTGATAAAATTGTCTCAGACTTTATCCTTTATTCTACATTTGAGAGGTCATACACAAAAGAAGCCTTATAAATGTAAGAAATGTGGAAATATCTTCAGCCAAAAGTAAATCCTCATTCATCAAAAAATTCATACTGGAAAGAAATCTTGTGAATGTGGGAAAGCTTCCATTCCGATGTCACACCTCAGCCAGCAGAGAAATTGTAGCGGGGGAAACCCCTTTGCCTGTAAGGTATGTGGGAAAATCTTCAGCCACAAATCCAATCTCACTGAGCATGAGCTTTTTCATACTAGAGAGAAACCTTTTGAATGTAATGAATGTGGGAAAGCCTTTAGCCAAAAGCAGTATGTCATTAAACATCAGAACACCCATACTGGAGAGAAGCTTTTTGAATGTAATGATTGTGGAAAGTCCTTCAGCCAGAAAGAAAACCTCCTTACCCATCAGAAAATTCACACTGGAGAGAAACCTTTCGAGTGCAAAGATTGTGGGAAAGCTTTCATTCAGAAGTCAAACCTCATCAGACACCAGAGAACTCACACGGGAGAGAAGCCCTTCATATGTAAGCAGTGTGGGAAAACCTTTAGTGGCAAATCAAATCTTACTGAGCATGAGAAAATTCATATTGGAGAGAAACCCTTTAAATGTAATGAATGTGGGACAGCTTTTGGCCAGAAGAAGTACCTCATAAAGCATCAAAACATTCACACTGGAGAGAAACCCTATGAATGTAATGAATGTGGAAAAGCCTTCTCTCAGCGAACATCACTTATTGTGCATGTGAGAATTCATTCAGGTGATAAACCTTATGAATGCAATGTATGTGGAAAAGCCTTCTCTCAGAGTTCATCTCTCACTGTGCATGTGAGAAGCCATACCGGTGAGAAGCCCTATGGTTGTAACGAATGTGGGAAAGCTTTCTCACAGTTCTCAACCCTAGCCCTGCATTTGAGAATACACACAGGTAAGAAGCCTTATCAATGTAGTGAATGTGGGAAAGCTTTCAGTCAGAAGTCACACCATATTAGACACCAGAAAATTCATACTCATTAAAAAACATGTGACTATCTTCAAAATGGGAAAATGTGCACCAGGAATTTGTATCTCACAGTACATCTGAAATATTTTGAAGCAAAGCACTGCAGGTGAGGTGAACTTTAACAAATGCTAAAACTTACGGGATACCAACTAGCGCATACTGAAGAAAAAGATTTTTGTATGATGAAAAGACTGCCTGACCAAGAAAACTGTAGCAGAGGTAATAATTAACTTTAAATGCATTTCCCTAAAATTGGGTACAGAAAATAGAGGCCTGTTACTGCTCTTGGCATAAGTCTGGAGATCTTCACCAATATAAGAAAATAAGGTATAAGTATTAGGAAGAAATAAAAACATATGATCATCTACAAATAAGCCTTTGTGACAACGATTCAGCAGAGCAGAAGATTCCAGAAAGAGACCTATGCATTTATTCGAATTTGGAATATGTAAGAGATGGCATTAGGAGATGAAGAAATAATAAGACTTGAAAAAATTATTTGGAGGTAATTTGTTCTCCAAGGGTGGAGAATGGACCATAGATTACACAGGATAGTAAAACCCACAGGGATTGAAGAAAAATATAAAAAGCCAGTATACTAAAAATGGTTATGAGCTTGAGAGTAGGAAAACATTCCTTATAACAAATTCAAGAATACATATTAGTTTTACTTGTATGTATGCTCAGGAAATAATGTAGTAGCCAGGTAATGGAAACAATTTAAATCTCCATCTGGAACAAAATGGAAAATTCTTAAGATAGAATACTACACATCTGTAAAAATGGAACACATGTTAATGGAAATATCTAAAAGTTGAGAAGGAAAAATGTTGCAGAATGATGCATATAGTACAATGACTTTTTGTAAATTTGAGTTATGTTTCCTTGATGAAGTTCAATACTTTATATTGCTAATGCATATACATACATATGTAAATGTTTTTGAAATCAGTTGGAAGGATACAGACCAAACTCTTGATGGTGGCCTGTGAAGAGTGGAGAAGGGAAGGGAATGAGTGGGGGTGGGGGTGGGGAGGGGCTTAATCTTTTTATATAAATATCCATTTCTCTTAAAAGCTGCAAGTAAATATATGAAGATACTAATTCTGCATTGTGGTATATGGATATCTTGTCTTATTTTTTGTACTTTTCTGTATTTTTAAAGTTTCACAAAATTAAAAGAATAGGGTGATGATGGGAATTGTGTACTTGTAGAAGTCACATACTGAATTAATTCCCAGTCAAATACTAAACTTTTTATAGAAATTATTTCTAAAAATTTATCAACAGTGAGTGGATGGACTTACTCTATGTAATATGAAATTATCTATTTTATTAAAATTAAAAGTGACACCATACTCCAAATTTGTTTTGTTTTGACAGGTTATAGTGTGTGCTATATTATCTGTGTCTTCACATTTTTTAACATTTTGCAAAATACCACTTGGGCTTAGAAATTCATTTTTTACATTTTTGGTACTTGTGGTTGAATTCAGGGCCTTGTACATGCTAGGCAAGTGCCCTACCACTGAGCTATATCCCAAGCCCTTTTATATTTTTGTTTTTGAGACACATTCACTAGGTTCCCCTGGCTGGCCTTGTACTTGTGATCCTCCTGCCTCCGCCTCCTGAGTGTGGAGATTACAGGTGTGCACCACTGTGCCTGCTTTTTTTTTTTTTGGGGTACCAGGGATTGTTGCAGTGCCCTGAGCTAAATCCCAGGCCCTACCTGGTTAATTTTTAAAGAACTTTTCATTCAAGATTTATTAAATAAGGATTGATTTTTGGAATGTTAAATTTTACTATCCTGTGAATTGAACTAAACATTTTTCCTAATTTTATTTTTCAAAAGAACACTTAAAGTTCCTGACCTTCCACAGTTTAGTGCCTTAGATGCAAATACCTAGATCTCAGTCTGTATTTTTGAGGTAGGATTTCATTAGCCAAAGTGGGCCTTGAATTTGCCAGCCTCTCCCATGCTGGGAACAGACGTGCTGTGCTCTGTCTAGCACACCCACTTTAGATTCCACTCTTAACCTGTATTTCTTTCCTCCCATTACTTCAATAGACAAAGCTTTGTTTTATAGAGGGTGGGGTGGTTCACAATGAGAAATGGCTCTGACCTGGACAGTTCTGTTGTGTAAACTAATCTTTGAGGATTAAAAAAAAAAACACAACTAAAACTGGTAATTTTACTGAAGAGTAAAAGTGAATACAACTGCATTGAGGTTGATTTCCAAACCTTCAAAAATAAATTCATTAGTTAATGCAATTACAGTATCATCCTTTTTGAAGGAATGACTACAGATTAATACTTAAATATCTAGATGAATTTTTGTCACCCCACCACCACCACTGGGGTTTGAATCCAGGGCTCTGCACTGAGGTACAGCTCCAGTTTTACTTCTTTTTTTATATATACATACATAAAACTTGAAAATTTGATGGCTCATCCTCCCAGAATGCTGGGTCTATAGGTACCTTTGTTTTTTGTAATAAGAATCCCTTTTTCTCTGCATGACGTGAATATATATATATACACATATATACATAATTTTTATTCACATTTAAAGGTATTCTCTTTATGAGACAAAAGCTACTTATAGGAAGACCTGTCTCTGCAGTTTTGCAGTTAATCATGATTTTTGTCATTTAAATCAGTAACTTGCCATTTAGCTCAACTTTTTAACCCTAGAGTGTTTATCCAAATTAGTGACTCTTAAGCCTAGAGGGTTTGTGAGGTAATGTGTGTAACTCTTTTCTGATCCACTAAGTCAAAAGTACTGAGGATGTGCATTTTTAATTTCCAAGGGACTGTGCTATTGTGCCAGGGACCCATTTTAAAAACTCAATCTAACCATCCTAGTATACATCCGTAGTTTTACATTTTGTATCTAGAAAATGAGAGGTAACTTTATATCTTTAGAGGGATAGTTAAAACTAAAGCCAAATTACAACATAGCCATTTCAGTGCAATAGGTGGAAATGCACTTAACCTACAGATTATGAGTATCAACAAATGCTGCCCTTTTGAAATCTTGAGTGTTCTACTGTGTAGTGGGAAAACAGTTAAATTTTTATTTTGTTTATAAATAATATGAAAACGATGTCATTGAGCATGGACTATACGATTGTATTGTAAAATGCTATTGAGAAGAACCTGGTTTTTTGGCGGGGGCGGTTAAGTGCTAGAGATTGACTTCCCTAGTTTTATTTTATTTTTTTGAGTTTTACTAAATTGCCTAGGTTTGATTTGTGCTTTCAGTTCTGCCCTGGTCTCCCAGACTGCTAGGATTACAGGCCTGTGCCACTATGGCTGGTTTGGATTTTATTTATTTATTTTAATTTATTTGAGACAGTGTTGATATGTAATTCAGGCTGGGTTTGAATTTGTAGTGACCCTCCTGCCTTAGTCTCCTGAATGCTGGGATAATAGACTAGCTAGACATAGACCATTAAATCTACAGACTACCTAGATACAAAGATTTTATTTTTATTTTGGTACTGGGGATCAAACTTGGGACCTTGCACTTAGGAGGCAGGCACCAGAACCACTGAGCTAAATCCCCAGCCCAAGATTTTATTTTGGAGTTTGTTTTTTTGGTACCAGGGATTGAACTCAGGCCCTTGAGCTATCGAGGCAGGCGTCGGATCCACTGAGCTAAATCCCCAGCCCTTGTTTTTGATAAGGTCTAGCTATGTAATTCAGGCTGTCCTTGAACTCACAGTGTAGTCCAGGCAGGCCTCAAACTCATGACGATCCTGCCTCAGCCTCAAGTGCTGGAATTACAGGCGTGCATCACCACATTGCCTGGCAGATTTTTCTCCTTAAGTGCACTGAGAATTCACCAGAATGGATATAAGCATGATGATATGACTGACATTGGGAGATCACATCATACTTCACGAAGAGTGGGTAAAGAACCCAGCAGAGGGCCAGGGATCCCCAGTACCAAAAGAAAAAAAAAACGAGTAGAAGCAGAGAGTCCATTTAAGAGGCCGAGGAAGCATTGAGGCAAGGTGAAAAAGAGATGTAACATTGAAGATGGTTGAAAATGAGTATTTTAGGGGTGAGCTGACATGAGTTGCCAAAATGAATAATGACACTGTATTGTATCAAGGACAAGGTTAAACCTTTTAAGCGGGCATGTCATTTAATACAGTGTTGGAGCAGATTGGGAGGGAATAGACAGTTGGTTTGGATTTGAGAGGTTTGACACCAAGTGGAAAATGGAAGAGATTCAGTTACTTTGGGATTACATGAAAACCAGGAGATAAGATGAGGTCACTTAGGGAAAGTATACTTCTGGTAGAAAAAGTGAAATAGAAACCACATAATTTAATAGAAATCTAGAATGTTAATCCCATGAATTAAATTGTCTCAACTTTTCAGTTAAAGTCAAAAGATTTTTATTTCTATGTATGTATGTATGTATTTTGAGACAGGGTCTTGCTATGTATTCTAGGCTGATCTTGAATTCGCTCTGTACCCTAGACTGGCCTCAAACTCAGGTCAATCTTCCTGTACTTCCAAGTACTGGGATTACAGGAATGCGATACCATGTCCAGTTGAAGTCAAAGATTGTAAAATGGTTTTCTTTTGGTTTTGTTTAATGGTTATAAACTATTTAAATGCAATACATCTTAAAAGTGGAGACAACAAAAAAAGAGGTCAACCAAATAATATCCAAGAAAAACCTATCAGACAAAATAGTCTTTAAGGCAAACATTACTACAGGCTAGAGAATAGTAAAATTTTTCGTTCATCAGACACATGTAATGATTTTAATCTTGGGCATTCCTAAGAAAGGCAGCCTGTAGGCTGCAGCATCTGGAAACCAGCTGTGGTGAGACCTGCTCAGGAACATGCCTTGCTGCACAGGCTGGCTGCAGAGGCAGGATGGTTGCCTTACCTTGGGGCTGTCTCCACTGTACACCAAGCCTTTCTGGTAGAGACCTTGGTCCTGTCTTTCTTGAGAAGACCACCAAAGGCCACTAGTGCTCAGGGTGGAGTGTTGAGGGTGCAGCTGCTGTGGACTGATGCAGAAGACATTTAGTGGCCACATCAGGCCACTCCTTAGCCCTGTGACTGAAGTGGAGAGGTGGTAGGGCTGCCAACTGACTCAGGATCTTCTTAGTTTATTTCTGGGTATTCCTATTTATATTTGTATACAAAACAGCTGAGGACACCAGCAAGATATTTCCCCAGTATTAAAGTTTCTGACTACATTTCAAATGGTAAGGAATTGAGGCAGAAAGAATCTAGGTATAGTTTTTTGGTGGCTCCCTCTTTATTCAGTATACCACCCCATAGCTTTTCCAGTTCTGAAACTCACTGAATGTTGCACATGTTTAGGAGTGTATTAGAAGGGACACTCCCAAAGAGGAGAAGGAAATTTCAGCAGAAGGTTCCTAACTACATTTTTTTTTGGAACTGTGGATTGAACTCAGGACCTTGTGCTTGTGAGGCAGGCGCGGCACCACTGAGCTAAATTCCTGGCCCCTAAGTACATTCTTTAAAGAATGGAGCCATGCCTGGTGATGCACACCTGTAGTACCAGCACTCTGAGAAGCTGAGGCAGGAAGGAGGATGGCAATTTGAGCTCAAGCTAGGCAACTTAGCAATTTAGCAAACTCTCAAAATGGGGGGAAAAAAATTTTTTTTAATGGCTGGGAATGTGCAGAGGCCCTGGGTTCAATCCTCAGTACTTCCCATCACATTTGGAATGGAAACATGCAGTAGCGATGACTGAAATAGTGAATTAACCTGTTTCTTAAGTTACTCCGTTTCTTATTTTAAAAGTGCAAAATTAGCCCAGCATGGTGGAGGGCTAAGGCAGCATGATCTCAAATTCCAGCCCAGTCTGGGGAATTTAGCAAGACTCTGTCTCAAAACAAAAAGGGCTGGTGATGCAGCTCGGTGTGAATGAGTTGGGTTCAATACCCAGTTTGACCTCTGACCAAATGCAAAGTTTCCTATTTATTTACTTAGGTGTTTTGAGACAGGATCTGACTATGTAGTCCGGACTAGCCTTGAACTCACTGTCCATGTAGCCCAAGGCTGGCCTCAAACTCTGTGGTCCTCCTGCCTCAGCTTCTCAAGTGCTGGGATCACAGGTGTGTGCCACTACGCCCAGCTACTTTTCTTTTTTAAAGGGTGAAAATATGTCAAAACTAGATAATGGTTTTAGGGTTGGTATATAATATTTCTAATAACAGTGTTTATTGGCATTTGTGGAGCTATCTCTTATGAATTAGGTGATAAATTTAAAACTTATGTAATATAGAAAATGTTCATCTTGGGCCGGGGATTTAGCTCAGTGGTGCCGCCACCTGCCTCAAAAGTGCAAGGTTCTGAGTTCAAT